TAGCCTACCACAGTCTGTAGACTGGTATGGTGGTATAAGTAGTGGTCTCAGATGCCTCCAGAGGAATACACTGCTTCTTTGAGTTGCAGTGGAACGAACATTTCCTGCAACATCTTTTCTTCGTTTACTTTCATATTTGACCTAAATTAAATACAGAGTAATGGCAAACATCTGAGTTTGCTTTGTTCAGTGAGCTCGAGGGCGTCGAAATCCTTTAACAACATTAAAACAAGTCTCCAGAGTAAACAGGCATGCAGCATTATGTAATGGATATATTCATGTCATGTTAAATGCACAACAACTGGAAATGAGTGAAATTCCTCTGTAAGTGAAGACAATAACTGGCTGGCTGCCCTGGACGAGCTGCCCCACCACAGCAAAATCCTGCTAGATGGACATAAGATACATTGTAGACATTCTCTGCTTTAATGACTGTTGCTGTAATAAGTGCTTTTGTAGTGCTGGTATTTTTTTTTTTGGTGACCTCTTGATTAAGATGGTGATTCAAAACAATGTCAACCAGGGAAGGAAATAATACTTTTTTTAAGGGGTGACTTTATAAAAAAAATACAACCCCATTTCCAAAACAGTTGGGACGCTGTGCAAAATGTAAATGAAAACAAAATGCAATGATGTGCAAATCATTTAAACCCTGTATTTCATTGAAAATGGTACAAAGACAACATTTCAAATGTTGAAACTGAGAAATTTTATTGTTTTTTGAACAATATATGCCCATTTTGAATTTGATGGTGGCAACGTGTTCCAAAAAATTTGGGAAGGGGCAACAAAAGACTAAAGTTCTGTAATGGAAAAAAAAACATGTGAAGATTAATTGGCAACTGGTCAGTAACATGATTAAGTCTAAAAAGAGCATCCCAGAGAGGCGGAGTCTTTCAGAAGTAAAGGTGAGGAGGAGTTCACCACTCTTTAAAGGCTGTGTGGGTAAATAGTGCAACAATTCAAGAATAACGTTTCAAAGCATAAAACAGCAAAGAACTTGGGGATTTCATCATCTACAGCACATAATATCATTAAAATATTTAGACAACCCGGAGAAATCTCTGTATGCAAGGGACAAGGCTTAAAACTAGTATTGGCTAGCCAAAATATTTGGGCCCTCAGGTGGCACTGCATTAAAAACAGACATGATTCTGTAGTGTAAATCACTGCTTGGGCTCAGAAACACTTCTGAAACCACTGTCTGTGAAAACAGTCTGTCACTGCATCCGTAAATGCAAGTTAAAACTCTAAAACGCAAAGAAAAAAACAATAATAAACAGGACCCAGAAACGCTGCCACCTTCTCTGGGCCCAAGCTCATTTAAAATGGACTGAGGTGAAGTGGAAAAGTGTCCTGTGGTCCGACGAATCAACATTTAAAATTCTTTTTGGAAATCATGGACACTGTGTCCTCCGGGCTAAAGACCACTCAGCTTGTTATCAGTGCACAGTTCAAAAGCCAGTATTCATGATGGTATAGGGGGGCATTAGTGCACATGGTATGGGTGACGTGCACATCTGTGAAGGCACAATTAATGCTGAATGATATATACATGTTTTGGCAACATATGCTGCCATCCAGACGACGTCTTTTTCAGGGAAGGCCTTGATTATTTCAGCAAGACAGTAAAACCACATTCTGTATTTACTACAACAGCATTGATCATATTAAAAGAGTCTGGGTGCTAAACTGACCTGCCTGCAGATCAGATTTGTCACCACTGAAAACATTTGGCACTTTATGAAATGGAAAAATAAAACAAAGAAGACTCTGAACTGTTCAGTAGCTGAAATCCTGTATCAAAGAAGAATGAGAAAACATTTCACTTTCAGAACTACAGCAGTGTCTCCTCAGTTCCCAAACGCTTACAGAGTGTTGTTAAAAGAAGAGGTGATGAATCACAGTGGTAAACAGGCCCCTGTCCCAACTTTTTTGGAATGTGTTGCTGCCATCAAATTCAAAATGAACATATATTTTTCAAAAAAACATAACATTTCTCAGTCTTTGTACTATTTTCAAATAAGTATAAAGTTTAAATGATTTGCACATCATTTCATTTTGTTTTTATTTACATTTTGCACAGCGTCCCAACCTTTTCGGGAATGGGGTTGTACAAAATAGTAATTTATTCAGAATATGTTATTTCAAATTAGGTCATTTATAGGTTTTAAACTGTTCATAGCATCACACACAAAACACATCTGCAGTTTTTTAATCAATTTTTATTTTTCTACATTTTTCTAGCATAGCAACTGACTTTTATATTGTGTGAATATATTTAATGATGAATGACCCAATAGAAATGGCCTGACTCTGTAGTGTTGCGCTTTAATCTGTAGCATTTATGGCTCATTATTATCCTGCAGAATTACCACTTTGGATATATGGTGGGATCCAAACGTGAAAATGCTTCTATTTTGCATTTCTTTCTTATTTAATACAAAACTTTTCATTACAAATTATATTAGAAGCATAAAACTGTGAGAGAAAAGTACAATCTCTGAAATTAACATGAATTTCAGAATTTCTTAGTATTTGAAATGCCCCTCTTTGGCTTTAATTGCAGTGTGCACTCAAGCTGCCATTGACTATACAAGTCTGTGCAAAAGCCTCTGATGAGGAGTAGATCAAATCCAGCCAAGAGTCGTCTGAACATGAGGAAGGAATAAGACCAGAAAGCAAATCTGACCTTTCTATACACAAGCCTTCACATGGCCAGTGTCCAAATTTTTGCTTTGAAAGGAAACCTAGAAATAGTCAAGAATCTCAAATGTTTACTCTTCACTGTTTAGAACTTTTCTTTGTTTTAAATTGGATACAATTTTTAAATGTAATTTCATCCCAAATTTTACTGTGGTCTCAGACTTTCAGGCCCAGTTGTACATGTGATGGCATGTAATGAGTATAGCATTTTCTAATGTTGTGGGCACTTTGCACACATTTTAAGGGGCAGGAATGTTGAATATGTGGCATGTTTGCTCTTTGTCCCTGGTTATTTCTTCTATATTAAAAGCCTATTAGAGTTGTTTGAGTGCCACAAATGCTATAGTTGAACAAAATGCTTGCTGTATTCAGAAAACTAGAGTTATCAATCCATGCTTTGTCCAACTGAGCACGTGGAAGCTAGAAAACAGCCACCTAAACCCCCATTCTATTTCAAAAACAACGTTGGGACGGTCAATCCAAATGCGTACACGTTCGGACCAGATATCGGGAACTCGCCATCCAACACACCTGACTAAAATAAATAAACAACACAGAAATCGTGTTCAGAGACTGTCCCAAGACTACCTTTGAGTACTGCACATGTTGAAAGCATCTCACTGTATTGCTCAGTTCCTGCCTGTGTTCAGAGTTCAGCTGCCGAAGTTTAGTTTAGAAGCTAACATCTTTAAAGTCAGGGACAGCACCCAGGCACTTCCTTCCTTAGGATGTTGCAGGGCTGCATAGACGGGCCTATAGAGCGTAACCTCTTCCACTTCAAACAGACCCTCCACTCCCTCGGATTTCTCAACCCGTTTTACGAACACTGATTACAAGACTTGGTTTGAGAATGATTCAACTTGGGCGAAGCTGAACTAAATAAAACGTGATACCTATCTGACTCATACTGGATAGTGTAAAATCACTTGTGGCCTGAGAGTCACGCTAGCACGTCTGACAAAACCACAGAGGCCTCTCTCATAGACATTTATTGGCAGTTAGTTAATGCAGTGAATAGGGATGCAAATGGTGGCAAATTCTTTTGACAGATAACTGATTGCCATTAGTCTGTGATTAATCCTTTACCAACAAACCTACGATCACGGACACGACCCATGAAAACATCACAGCAAAAACAACACAGCGCTGCGTTTAATATACACCGGTCAGGCATAACATTATGACCACCTCCTTGTTTCTGCGCTCATTGTCCATTTTATCAGCTCCACTTACTATATAGGTGCACTTTGTAGTTCTACAGTTACAGACTGTAGTCCATCTGTTTCTCTGTGTACTTTGTTAGCCCCCTTTTACCCTGTTCTTCAGTGGTCAGGACCCCCATGGACCCTCACAAAGCAGGTACTATTTGGGTGGTGGATCATTCTCAGCACTGCAGTAACACTGACGTGGTGGTGGTGGTGTGTTAGTGTGTGTTTTTAAACACCTCAGTGTCACTGCTGGACTGAAAATAGTCCACCAACCACAAATATCCAGCCAACAGCGTCCTGTGGGCAGCGTCCTGTGACCACTGATGAAGGACTAGAGAACGACCTACACAAACTGTGCAGCAGCAGATGAGCTATCGTCTCTGACTTTACATCTACAAGGTGGACTGACAAGGTAGGAGTGTCTAATAGAGTGGACAGTGAGTGGACACAGTGTTTAAAAACTCCAGCAGCACTGCTGTGTCTGATCCACTCAGACCAGCACAACACACACTAACACACCACCACCATGTCAGTGTTACTGCAGTGCTGAGAATGATCCACCACCCAAACAGTACCTGCTCTGTGAGGGTCCATGGGGGTCCTGACCACTGAAGAACAGGGTAAAAGGGGGCTAACAAAGTATCAGAGAAACAGATGGACTACAGTCTGTAACTGTAGAACTACAAAGTGCACCTATATAGTAAGTGGAGCTGATAAAATGGACAATGAGCGTAGAAACAAGGAGGTGGTCATAATGTTATGCCTGATCGGTGTAGAATGTTAGTGAAAAGCTAATTTGATTTCTTCAATTTCATGGCTATTAAATACACGTGAAAATTCTGCCTCCTCGTGTTCAGTAGGCGATTCTGACAGATGGTAATACACTACAGGAAGTGTAGGGGGCGATAGAGCTTCTGTTGTATAGTCACATCATAATAGACGAAACTGTCAGATGGAACGTGGAATGATGGTTCTTCAAGCCAGCACTGTTGATGATAATGATGATAATTAATCAATTATAGAATAACCATTAATTGCAGCGTCTAATGTAACGTCACACCTCCTCTCTTCTTTTGTTTTGCACAGTCATCCAGTGCGGGGCTGAGCAGAACTACAGAAGCTGTCCAGTCCACTCCAGTGGCGCCGACCGCTAAATCCGCCGCAGAGCCGCAGAGCACAGAAGCCGCGCCGGCTCTTCCAGAGCTTCTGGGAGACATACCGTTCACCTTGGCACCACATGTCCTGGCCATGCAGGCCGGCCTGCCCCTCATACCAGAGTTCGTCCTGCCTCGGGACATCAACGAAAACCTGGCCAGCTTCTGTTATGACTTCACTCTGGAAAACTCAGTGCTCTATGAGCCATGAAGCCTGTCAGTTGATCTAAACACTCCTAGGCCTTTCTTAGAGCAGCGGTTTGGCTAAATTTAGATTTAGATTTACACTGTTTTCCCCCTTCTTACCCTAAATGTGGTCGATCAGCATAGACATGTTTGGTGTCTGAAGTTTGCTTCTTTAGTTTTGCGCTTGGGCTCTAGGGCTAATGTAGCTAATGAGTAATGGAAGTTTATAGCCCACCGATTAGTACAAACTGCGAACAAACGGCCTAAATCAGTACGCACATCACACTTATCTAAAATACACTGATCTGAATCAGACTCGCTTATGTGGTTTCAGTATAAACAGTATATGTTTCTGTCCATGTTTATAGATAACAGTATGTCATACAGTCAGAAACCACATAAGCAAGAACATTCAACTCGACACGGTTTGAAACAAGTATGGTAACTTCAGCTGCTGTCACACTAGACATTTGCACTTCATGTTGCCTTCTGAAATAGGCGTGACCAAGGCTGGACTGGAGGATTGATCCGATGCAAAAACACAAAAGTGTGCATAATTATACCAGATGATTATATACTTATAAGAGCACAGTGCTGCTCGCCGAGTTGCAGCAACAACGTGTTGACCAGACCTTCCCAACCCCCAAGCTGCAGACCGAGACCAGGCTGTGGATCGTTTTTTACTGGGCGTCAGCAGTGAAGCTGTGAGCTGGGGGGGAGTTTGTAGCCAAACTGCTGAAATCCACTACTTTATTATCATTACTGTACTTTACACCGATCAGGCATAACGTTCTGACCACCTCCTTGTTTCTGCGCTCATTGTCCATTTTATCATCTCCACTTACTATATAGGTGCACTTTATTGTGCTGGTACGAGTGGATCAGACACAGCAGTGCTGCTGGTGTTTTTAAACACTGTGTCCACTCACTGTCCACTCTATTAGACACTCCTACCTTGTCAGTCCACCTTGTAGATGTAAAGTCAGAGACGATAGCTCATCTGCTGCTGCACAGTTTGTGTTGGTCATCCTCTAGTCCTTCATCAGTGGTCACAGGACGCTGCCCACAGGACGCTGTTGGCTGGATATTTTTGGTTGGTGGACTATTCTCAGTCCAGCAGTGACACTGAGGTGTTTAAAAACTCAAGCAGCACTGCTGTGTCTGATCCACTCAGACCAGCACAACACACACTAACACACCACCACCACGTCAGTGTTACTGCAGTGCTGAGAATGATCCACCACCCAAATAGTACCTGCTCTGTGAGGGTCCATGGGGGTCCTGACCACTGGAGAACAGGGTAAAAGGGGGCTAACAAAGTATGCAGAGAAACAGATGGACTACAGTCTGTAACTGTAGAACTACAAAGTGCACCTATATAGTAAGTGGAGCTGATAAAAGAAACATGGAGGTGGTCATAATGTTATGCCTGATCATTGTACATTATTCTGATAGTATTTTTTAAGCTTAATACTTGACATTAAAATTTTTCTAATTAAATTTTGTGATTTTATACATCATCTCTATTGGCTCATGTATGTATGTAGGATGCTATTAGCTGCTTTCAGGTGGTGGCTACAGCAGGTGAAGGGGTCAAAATTGAAGAAATTGACAACATTAAAAGTTTTACTGGGGCTACAAACACAAAAAGGCCACCAGAGACCAGAAAGAAAACAATACCAAGAAGAAAAAGCATCATGCGGTTATAAAATATGACATAATAGAAAAATACATCATGACTGGGGACACTAATGCAGCAAATCCAGCGTGTGTGGTGTGCAGAGAGAAGCTAGAGAGCTGCCCAGTTACTGTATGTTTGTCAGGAACGGCAAAACATATCATAAGCATGTGTGTTGCAGCATCATTGCCCAGCAGTGTCAACTGGTGAGGTATTAGCTTCTATTACTTGTTACCTTCATTAGCCTCATAGCTCCAGTGTAAAACTAAAGAATCAAACTTTAGACACCAACCTTGTCTAAACTGATTGACTACATTTGGGAAAAACAGGAAAACTGTGTAAAACTGGCTTTTTGCCAAGCTGTCTCACCAATTTGGAGTTTGCACGGTTCAAACACAAGGATGAGATGCGAAGTTCGAATATGAAGTGTTTGCTTTTATGCGCTCTCAGGACTTTTTGAGTGAAGTGAGTATTTATGGAACAGAAGAGCTGTAGCATGATGTTCTGTATCTTAGTTATTAAGAATTTAAAATGATTTTTCATTTGTATTTATTTCTGTTGCATGAGAAAATCATATGTGCGATGAGAGAACTGGGAGTATTTTCCCACTTCATTTTGTTTCCGACACTACACTGTATCGCATGCATGCACAGCTGTTTTACGAACTTCTATTAACTTATTGTTTCGAACTTTTCTGCCAAATGTCTGTTTTCTTTCTTGGCTCACCGTTAATTCCTATATTTTAGCATTTCAAAACCACAGGTACAGATTAAGAAGCTCTTGCAGGAATACATCTGAAGACGTTACAGAAAAATGCTCTTATTAAATATATATTTGGGGCCATGCAGGCACCTCTGGAAACATGACTTTTAAAGCGCTTCGGAATGAGAATTGTTGAAGTGCTACTCTCCATGAAATATCGCTTCTCATTTTTTTTCCCCATGTTGGGTTTTTGGTCTCATTGTTACCGCACTGTTGTCATTGTTTGCTGTGGACATTGTATGTCTTTGTTTATGTGTACGTGTGTTTTGGATTTCATATGCATGCTTTTTGGACTGGGTTAGGGGTTCAACACTGTAAGCGAATCTCTCTAATTGAACAACAGAGCAGCTTTTTTAACCACAGAACACCCGAATGAATTTCAGTAGTGTTTATTTTATAGACTATACAGTAGAATTTTTGGAATGACTGGCTGGGTTTCAGCACAGTGCATTCTACTGTTTACAGGTCATGGAAAATGAACAAAGAATGGTTCTTAGGTTCTTCACTTGGTTTGTGGCGTGTATTACTTATTCCCATATCTAGGCCTTTTTCTCTGTGGTTCGAGTGGATTTTACATTGTTTCTAACTACTTTCTTCTACAAGGTACTCTGATGATATTAACATACATAAAGATCTGCTCATTATTATTGTGTTTGACTGTCTTTAGTCTGATCTGTACTGAGTCTTTCAAATGAATATACTTTCCACAGTTCAATTTTAGTCATTTTTTGGTCTCTTATTCCGTTTTTAGGTTTGGTTTAATTCTGAATTGTCAGTTCAGAATTAGGTAGATACTGAATTACCTAAGAGGTCCCACTGTGTTGTTCTTTTTTTGGACTTTTTTATTTATTTATATACCTCAGTTTATTTTTGGTAGTTACTTCTACTTAAGTCGATATACCCCCGATCAGGCATAACATTATGACCACCTCCTTGTTTCTACACTCACTGTCCATTTTATCAGCTCCACTTACTATATAGGTGCACTTTGTAGTTCTACAGTTACAGACTGTAGTCCATCTGTTTCTCTGATACTTTGTTAGCCCCCTTTTACCCTGTTCTTCAGTGGTCAGGACCCCCATGGACCCTCACAGAGCAGGTACTGTTTGGGTGGTGGATCATTCTCAGCACTGCAGTAACACTGACGTGGTGGTGGTGTGTTAGTGTGTGTTGCGCTGGTCTGAGTGGATCAGACACAGCAGTGCTGCTGGAGTTTTTAAACACTGTGTCCACTCACTGTCCACTCTATTAGACACTCCTACCTTGTCAGTCCACTTTGTAGATGTAAAGTCAGAGACGATAGCTCATCTGCTGCCGCACGGTTTGTGTTGGCCATCCTCTAGTCCTTCATCAGTGCTCACAGGACGCTGCCCACAGGACGCTGTTGGCTGGATATTTGTGGTTGGTGGACTATTTTCAGTCCAGCAGTGACACTGAGGTGTTAAAAACTCCAGCAGCACTGCTGTGGCTGATCCACTCATACCAGCACAACACACACTAACACACCACCACCACGTCAGTGTTACTGCAGTGCTGAGAATGATCCACCACCCAATCAGTACCTGCTCTGTGAGGGTCCATGGGGGTCCTGACCACTGAAGAACAGGGTAAAAGGGGGCGAACAAAGTATCAGAGAAACAGATGAACTACAGTCTGTAACTGTAGAACTACAAAGTGCACCTATATAGTAAGTGGAGCTGATAAAATGGACAATGAGCGTAGAAACAAGGAGGTGGTCAGAATGTTAAGCCTGATCGTAGTTGTAGTGTAACTCATGCAGTCTGACTACATTCGGTTTGGAAAGTTCCGTATCTTCAGCTCAGCCTGAACTAATATCCTTTTCATTGGCTCCGATTAGCCAATCGCAGAGTTCGGCCTAATTATTATTCACTCTCTCCACCAATCAGCGGGGCGCTAGTACACCGTGGCTCCTCCCCCATCCCCCTCAGTCACTGTCTGTCATCTGGAGTGCAGTAGAGCTACAGGGGTGTCCAGACTGTCGACTCCGGATTACATTTCTTCAGTTTAAACTTTATTTTCTCGTCCCAAATCGTGCCTGAAACCTTTCTCAAACTAAAGAGAAGTATCGCTTATAACCTCCTATGAACTTCTTTGTCATATCGGTAATGCAGGAAACGAAAACGGTGCACTTTCTTCTTTTTCGATGAGGATCGCTAGGCAGATTACAGTGCTGGGAAAATGTAGCTGCTTTCTATGAGTTCGTTCACCAAAACAACCTTAAGGCGCTTAGAAACCTAAAACCTACACTGTTTAATAAAGAAATCGTGCCGACTGCTCAGAACAGGTACCAGTGAATAAATAAGACAGCATATTTTTGTAGTTTTGTAGTTGCTTTCTCTGTATTTTTTTATAGTGATAGTCATGTCAGCATCTTCATCTGCCAACTCGACTCAACATCATCATCATCATCAGCACCGGGCCAAGCGCAGCACCGCCGGTTCCCCCTCCAACCCTTTACCACCACCATCATCATCATCATCGTCATCATCATCATCCACCAACGGCAGCCGCCTGCAGCCCATCCGTGCCACGGTGCCCTACCAGCTCCTACGTGCGAACCAGCCCAGCCCAACCCGTTCCCCTTCCTCCTCTTCCTCCTCCTCCTCCTCATCCTCCGCCGTCTCACTCGGCAGCACCGCAGCACCGAAATCCTCCAGCCCCAGCCCGAACCTGAACCCGGCCGGACACGGCGCCGCGGAAGCCGGGCTAATCCCGCGGCTCAGCCGCTCTCCACCTGAGCACCAGCGGGGCTCACCTGAGGAGGGTCGCCCCACCTCACCTGCTCTTAGAGGTACCGAGATCAAGATCTAATGCTCCTTTTTGGTGGTGCAGTAGCTCATATATGTCGTCGGTGTTGTTGTTTTAGTTCAAGCATCCGCCAGCTTCGAATTCCCCGTTCCACCTTAAATGGTGCAGCAGTTACGCTCTGAAGCCTGAAGCTCCAGAATGTAACTGCTGCGCCGTTTAAGGTGGAACGGGGAAATTCGAACAAGCAGCTGACTTCAGCTTCGTATCCCTTCGTGAGGGCTAGCTTCGGGCTAAGTCGCTTGCTTTAATTGGGTCAAACTGTTGGCGGGGTCTTGTTTTTTGTTTTTCGGCGCCTGAATGAAACGAATCCCCCGCATTTGGCATTTTTTAGAGAAAATATGAAGATGGTCTAGCAGAACACGTCCGTTTCTGCAGCGGTTCTCTCATTTCATCTCCGTCTGTGCGGTTGGTATTTGTTTTCTCCTGCATTTGCTGGTTGTTTAAGGCTAAATTAAAACTCGAGACGTGTTTTCGTCCACCGTAAAGACTCGAAATGGGTTTTATTTCCTAATTTTATGCGCTGCTTTTCGCCTCGTCTGAGGATGTAGGTTATAGTTCAAACCCCCATTTGCGTTTGCTGGAGCCTTGGCTAGGTTAACGCTAGCTAGCCTTAGCCATGTAAACATTAGCTCCCCTGCTCGAATTGCTGGGCTGTAATGTGAAAAATACCCCGTTGTAAATGCATAAAGCTCGATTTCTCCACTGCTTATGGCTGTAAGAGGGCATCGTGTGAATGAAATGGTTTATTTTGGTCAGAATGGAGATGACCAGGGGATGGAGATGACCATGTTTACAGGCAGAAAGATGGACAGGTTGGTCACAGCCACAGAGGGCCTGGTTACAGTAACAGTTTGGACATAGTGCTGAATATTAACATGCATTTCATACAGTCGGCAAATCTTCATCCATATATGTTGATGTGAGGTGCAGCAGACACTGTTTTTGCGGTTGTCATGGTCTTTGAAGAGAGTAAAGACCCCTTTTGAAGGGGAACTCCAGCAATTTTTCAAAATTTGTGCATAATTTAATGGCTATGATGTAACCAAAGTCGTTCAGAGTGGTTTGGTGTGAAACGCTCTGCTCTAGAGAAACTTACAGAGTCAGAATCGTTCACAGTGGTGGTGATAGGAACCAGACGTCCACCTCTAAAAGCTCCCTCACAGAATGTTAGTACACGAAATGGTTATGAATTCACTGCACTGATGTCTGAGACGTTGTTTTGTGATAGTTTTATGATAAAACACCTTGTTAATCCATTGGTTTGAATCTAGTCATGACAGAGGAGTCCTTGTAGGGTGTTGTGAGGCAAAATAGTCCCCAAAGAAAACTTATTTCAGATTTTCCTCTATTTTACCATCATCATTCCATATAAAACCTCAGAAGACTCGTGTAGGTTCACTGGTGGTTCTGGATAGTAAATAAAATGTCTATATTTGTGTTGTAGTCATGGCGACCCCTGTTTCCTATCACCACCACTGTAAAGACATCTGAACCATTTCACACCAAACCACTCTGAAGCACTCGGTTTACATCACAACAACAGAATTATCCTTCCTTTTTTAAAAAGTGGTGGAATTCCCCTTTAAGAGGTCAGTCATTGAATCCAGTACTGCACGTATTGATGTCCAGCCCAACCATTGTGATGGATGTTTGAGTTGCTCTTATTATGAAGGGAACCCAAAAGCATTGCTTTGATCTCTTGATGTGAAATGAACCACGAGTGAAGCTATGAATGAACACTAACCTTATTAAGGTGTCCCGTCCTTAAAGGGCAGTTTCACTGATGTTTAAAAAAAAAAAAATTCTGCATTAATTAGTCAATAAGATCTAAAACGAAGTCTTTCAGTGCGGTTTGATGTGAAATGTGTCGTTCTAGAGTAGCGTACCAAGTCAAAGTTGCTCACAGTGGCAGTGATAGGAACCAGATGTCTGAAGAGCTTAATGCTTTAAGAAGCTCTCTCATAGAAAGTTATTATATGAACTGGTTGTAAATTAGCCGCCTGATGCCTGAAACGTTGTTTTGAGGTGTATTTTTGTCAGGATTACTGTTATTTTACCATTATCGGCACTCAGAAGACACGTGTAGGTTCACTGGATTTGGACAGTAAATAAAATGGCTGTATTTGTGTTGCAGACATTTTGACCCCTGGTTCCTATCAAAACCACTGGAGCGGAACCAGAGTCTGTTAGTTTCTCTACAATGAACCATTTCACCTCAAAATCACTCTAAATGACTTAGTCTTAGTGGTTGAATTGCACTAAAAGTTGGAAAGAATCAGTAGAATTTCCCTCAATTATGAATCCATGCTGCTTTTAAAGTATTCCTGATGTCCACTGCAGTGTGTGTCTGTTGCCTTGGATGGATATGATGACGCTCGTCTTTGGCCTAAAGGCGTCTTCCCTCGCTCTGAACTTGAGCTCCAGTGAACCGAGGGGGGTGTTCCTTGTCTGTATCCAGCTGGAGCGATTAGATGTGTATTTGTGTAGTAAAAATATGTGACTGTTAAACCAGTTTTGCTGTAATTAGATAAGTGCTTCCTACTAGGGCGAAAACTTGCAGTATAGGCTCCAAAATGGGGCCTTTGTATGACCATTTAATTATTTAAGGCCTATATTGTTGAGAGTGATTTCATCCCACACAAACCAGCTGGATTTGATTTTGCTTAGTCTGTTTTGATGCAAACCTCTTGTGGCGCATTGAGGGTCGTGTTTGTAGTCCCAGGGGACGATATGGGCGAAATACCACTAATGATTGTACTGTTATGTGTTGTGATTACAGTGAAACTTTCAGTATACTAAAACGCATTGATGTGTGGGGTCTGCGGGGCTGGTAATAACATTCAGTACTCAGTACTACAGAGTACTGAGAAGTTCCAATGTCACTCAAAAACAGGAACCAGTATTGAAGGTATCGGTATCAAAAAAATCAGAATAATGATCAGCACTATTTGTTGGATCATGCAGATACAACCTCATCTTCAGTAGGATAACGAAAGTCAGTACTTTTAGTGTGTAGACTGAATTATTTCAGCTTTACTTTGTGCCAGTAAGCCTGTTTGGTGTTTGGCTGTCTAAATTACACTGCATTTCGCCGCTGTCGGAAGAAAACCTTGTATCTCCATTTTGGTTGTTTTTCAGTTTTTGGCATAATTTGAAAAGGCCTGTTGTCCTTTACATTGTATGTAAATTTCATGATGAATGGACCAATAGAAACGGCCCAAAATGACTTGGACAAAAACTCTGGTTCCATTGACTTACATTAAAAGTAAAGTATGTTTTTTCCTTCTCCTGTAAAGTTGTCATTTTGGAGATATTAGATATTTTTCTTCTGACAACAGCGATATGCCTTAGGGCCCAACCGATTTGACAATTTTATGGCTGATACCGATTTTCAGATGAAAAATTCTTATAACCAGTAATTTCCAATATAATTTTATATTTATCGCTGTTGTCGGAACAAAACCTCGTATCTCCAAAATTGTAGGAAAAAACCCACTTTACTTTTAATGTAAGTCAATGGAACCAGTCTTTTTTCCCAAGTCATTTTGGGCCGTTTCATTTAGTCTATTCATCATAAAATTTACACACAATGTAAAGAGCAACATGCATTTTCAAATTATGCCAAAAACTGGAAAACGTCAGTAATGGAGATGCAAGGTTTTCTTCCAACAACAGTGATATATTTTTTAATGTAATACTCCTGTTTTAGTTAAACGGTGCTTTACTGACTGATCTGACTGACTGAGTTACCCAGAATGCTTTGTGCTTTTGGTTTCTGTTTATTACGTTGTTATTTTTCTTATTTTTCATTAGTTTTCTTCATAAAAGGTTTCGAGTGCTACAACGTTGTTCTGTTATATATTATCTGTTATGCTAAAGCTGAGATTAGATGTTTTTGGAACATTTACTATGATGCTGTTTTGTGTTCAGCTGTTCAGCCTGCGTTGATATCATATAGTTAAAGAGATGCTCATATTGTGGCACAGCTGTCTAAGGTTTTGCCCTGCTGTCAGTAGATTTAGGTCCGACCCCATTTCTTAACTGAGCTACAAGGGGTAGTGGTTGAAGTCTTCCCTCTGAAATGGGACCCTCAAATAAAAAGAGCATCACTTCATTAACAGCTACTAGCGCTGCTCTGTAGGTGACCCTGCCAGTCTGCAGTGACAGCAGAGGAGGGTAAAGTTCAGCTCCTCACTGCTGGGCTTTAGTTACATTTAGGGCATCATATGCTTTTAAAGAGGCGGGATGAGACAGTCGTTTATCGCCCACCCCTAATTCTTATTTCTTAATTTTTAATTATTATATTCGTTATATGATGCTGAAATCAGCTATTCTCCAGCTTCTCGTTCAGTTTTTGATTTTGCACCATTTAAGGTGGAACGGGAGATTTAGCTAGCTAGCTAAAGAGACATCAGCATACTATTAGCAATTTTAATACTTGTTATGAAGAAAAGGACCATAATACATTGAAATGACATTAAACTGAGATAATACAGTGGTTATTGTCATTTTTAATGGAGAAAATTCTCACATTTGTGGGTTTCTTTGGTCTCTTGTTCAGCCGTCCTAGCATTTTTTCTTTTTTTTTCCTCATGTCACTCTGTTTGGAGTCTCTGAAAAACCTCAGTTTGGGCAGCCATGTGGCCCTAACACTTCGCCGTGCCCCTCCATCTCAACAAGAAGCCGGGACACCCCACCCCCTAGTTGTGACCGCCCAAAAGGGATGGCTAAGGGCTAAGTGGTTGGGCCGATGGGTGAAATGGGATTGGGCCTTAGAGTTCGAATCCTGGCGGTAATTATTGCCAATTTTACCAGCCAATACTGATAATACTGCTAATGTCAGCCAACTGATATATCAGTCGGGCCTTGAATGAGTCCTTTTTATTAGTTTGTAACCTGTTGCAGTCAAGAAATACACCCACTTTCAATTTGTCGAAGAACGAAGGATAAAATAAATAAATAAACAAATAAATAAATGTATGT